TACAGTTATTTTATTTAAAAAATCGTCTAAAGCATTGGCCAGTTAATTGAAAATGTGAGAAATGCTCTTAAGCTTTTTTCCGATCCCACCAATAATTGAGCCACGATTGAAGTTTTTTTAAACAATGAATATTTTTTGAATAATTTAGTCATAGATTTTCATTCAAAAGTTCCCCTGTTTTATGTATAAATTGAAATGTATGGAATCTATATTCATGGTAATGTGAGTCTTTGGATATGATCAAATCTCGTTCGATCATAAACAATGATATATTGCAAGATTAAAGCCCAAATCGATTCAAATGGAATGGAATAGAATGCAATTTATAAACTTTATCTTAACTGGAGCATTTCACTGGCTATTCGCTTGTCGCATATTTGACGATGAATGGCTCTGTCAATTTCTGTAAATGTGCATCAAATGCGATCCCATGGCATTGTGCACACCCTGCTACTCATAAATATTAATGAAAATAATTATTGTCGGGAACATTGACTGAAAATAGATAAATTGTCATATTACTATTTCCATTTCTCCACAAATATATGTATAAATCGACAGTCATATTATAATTTTTAGTTATACATATTCGAATTCTTGTTATCGTTGGAAATTATGCCAAAGGCTATTATTTTATTGTCACTCAATCGAAGTTCAATCAATCGGTTTGTGCAATCCAATTTCCATCGAAATAAATATTCGAATAATGCGTGCATGCAATTCGACATCGGAGCACTCCAGCAAGTGTATCGGTTGGCGTGTGTTACCGGTTTGGTAGAAGAAAAAAAAACTGCTGCAAATGCTGAAATACTGTTCACTGATGATTAATAGTGAAAACGTGATATTTGATTGCAGCCATACATGCTTTGATTTTCACCGCGCATATATAAACGTTCGTATGTGTTATTCCATTTGCATAATATTTAGCCACCAAGCTTCGGCAGCGAATGCGATGAGCAAATTTTTCAATTATCGCAACATTTTAAACAATTAAAATCTGAATAGGGTTTTGTTTTTGAAATGTCAATTGATTTCGAATGTATATTTATAGTATATATATCAGAATTTATTGATTGATATTTCTGAACAACAATTTGTGGCCATAATGCATGAATTCACCTATTGTTTAGTTTATCGAAATGCAGTGCTTCAGCCAGTCGAAAAACAAAATCGATGTAATCTACTCGGATCTGAAATTGGCCCATTTCAATCCGCAAACAAGCCGATTTGAAATTTATGAACGGTTTGTGTGTGTTGTCATGTATGAAATGAACGCTAAATGCGATTCGTGAATTTAAAATTATGAAACGAGCAGAGAGTGAGCGATGGAAAGGGGTTGGATAAGGAAAAAGATGACAAACAACAGAAATTCCAGTTTGTGAGGCCAAAGGATATCGTTTGTGACATTCATTCGCACATATTAAGGGTGTACGTGGTCATGGAATGTAACAAACAAACGAATAATCATAAATAAATCCATTTACAGAAAACAAATAGAATCAAACGCATCCACAGAGATTCACGAAATTTCCACTGACGACCAACAGCACGAACAACGAGCGAAAGTGAGTGAGAGAAAACTCATTCGCATTCGTTAGCCACTTGGCGAGATGCAATCTGTGCTCTCTCTCTCTCTCTCTCCCTTTCTCTCGTTTGAAACACAAGCACAAACAAACACCAAAGTGAATCTCTGGCCGAAAATTGCTTTCGAGAGATTTTCAAAAACGAATTAAGACAAGACGTGTTTTCGTTTAGCTTCATATTTATCTTTTTCCCATTTCTCCATCGTCTTCCGGCTTCTATTTCGTTTTGGTCGTTGTGTTTTCTTTATTTGTCCGTGTGGCTTTTTCTTTTTATATTTTTATCGTCTTGTGAAGCACTATGTTTTGCAATTGTGTTTTTGGCTTTCTTTGATTTCTTCTCGTTCTGTCTTATTTATTTTTTTTTTCTTCTTCTTTGAGCTCAAGCTCAACTACGATTTGCGGAAAGCCTATCAGATTGCCATCCCATGTAGAATCAAATGCAGCATCGCTTCGCGCATATAAATTGAGAACGAAATGCTTTAAGTAAGAAAAACGAAACGACAGAATATATTGCTGTTGCCTTCTTCATGCCACACTATATCTTCTTTTTTCCTTTTCGCTCTCTCTCACTCTTTCTCAATTCGTCCGCCAGCAAAACGATCACTGAAATTGAAAGTGAAAAATGTTTCGTTCCACTTTTTGCGCTGGCTATATGTTGGCGTTGGTCCAATCTCAGTTGAAACAAACGCATACAACGTTGACTATAAAATCAAAATTAACTAGATTGCAAATCCATTTCCCAATTTCCAATGTAAACAATTTCACTTTTTCTAACCCGCATGTTTTATTTTCGTTTGCAATAAATTTGAGTTATTTTTTTTCTCTTACATTTTATTTTCACGCGAATAAAAAAATTGCAAACAAAAACAAACATTCAAAAGTTTTGAAGCACGAACCAATTTTTGATGTGGATTTCCACGCCTAAAGTTTTAAAGTTCTTTCATTTTATTTTCATTGTCCAAAGAGAGAAGGAGAAGGAGGGACCGTGTTCGAGTGTGACATTCATTGCATTCAATGCATTATCGTAGTATTAAATGTTTGACTCACAGCTAAAATAGTGTTGTTTCTCTTGTTCGCTCTCAATTAGAACATCTGTTATCTGGCCAGCGATTATAGCGATTATAATCAATGTGGTGAAAATGTGCAAACCACATACCGACTCTTTTTCTCATTCATCCCGAACTTGTCTAACTTTTTTTTGCTTCGAATATAACATTGAGTGAAAATGGGCTTTGTGGGCGGGGGGGAATGTGTTAAAATAAAGAGATCCAGTTTTAAGTCCGACTGGATTAGGATAAATTTTTTGAAAAACGTGCACCAAAAGAGGCGAAGTGTGAAAAATGACCAAACAACAAGCAACTTGAAGCTTCCAGTATTAAATAGCAAAAGTTTTTCGATGCTATGTGTTACAATAAAGCGGTGTAGCGAGTTTAATGAACGTCTCGAACTAACTATAACTAAAGGGATATATAAACGGGAACAAGCAGCATATTATTGTTATTGTTAAAACTTGTATGTGCCACTTTTCACAATAAATTAACTACGTGCACATCGCATAATATAAACACATACAAAATATAAATGAAGTAAACTGTACGCCGCTCCAAGTTTTCATTCATTTCAAAAATCAACTGAAACTATATGTTTTGGGGAAGATTTCTCTTAAATAGTTAAAAAAAAAATCGAAATAAAGTATCTAATATTGTTGGACTCATTTTTTGGGAATTTCATGTTATGGCTCTATAAATTGTAATTAGATTACGAAAAAATGATTTTTTTTTTAAATTTCCCACTTGATAAACAAGAATCAATTATGTATTTCTAATGAAAAAAGCAAAAAAAAAACTAGACCACCAGGAAAGTATATTCGTAGACATGGTTTCATTTTTAGAAATATATCACGGCACGATTAAGACGAATTTTTATTCTTCTCCAAAAGAGGTGGGATGTGAGGATTTTGATTGGACCACAACCCACTGAATTGAGTTTACTTTGGCTCTAGACTGAGGGGATTTCTTATAAAGATATATAAAATATAGCCGTAGAAAAATGGGTTTTAGTTGCACTCCATATGCTCAGTGATTCGTTAATTGCTATTGACACTAAGACTTACTTTATTTTATCCGCTGTACTTCTGTTATGTTTATGATTTTTTTAAATAAATATAAATCTTGTAATTGATTTTACTTGACTTAATTTTTTCTGATTGTTTAAATCAGGATTCAAAAAAAATATATTATGTTTGCAAAAACCTACACAGTAAGCGTCGGCTGATATTTTTTTACTGTGTAGGTTTTTTTCAAACATAATATTTTTTTTTTAATTTATGAACATAACAGAAGTACAGCGGATAAAATAAATCGAAATACGAGCGTACATAGCGCTTCATATAGAATGCTTCTTTCACATAGACACGCGTCTTCCATGCGTCGAGCGTATCGCACTAGCACTGCTAGCCAGCAAATGCTGGCTAGCACATTACTCTAAGTAAGTCTTAGTGTCAATAGCAATTAACGAATCACTGCATATGCTTCAAGAGAGACAGCAAGGATCCTTCCTGTGTCAATAAAAAAATTATGGCCGGCGTGTGTTTACTGTACAATGTAAATAAATTTAAGTCCAAATCCATTTCAGACGATTATATTCTGTAGATTAATTATATATAATTCAATTGTAGAAGAAAGTAACAATGTGCATATTTACTTACTTTTTGCTTCTTCATGGCATCATTCATCAGCTGGTTATATGGTTATATATTTTCATATTAGATTCGAATTGACCATAAAACGATTAGAAGAATTCCATATGGCACATGCGCAAGACAAGATCTTGTTTTCAACAGACAAAATTATCGGTTTGTTTTCCAAAAATGATTAACGGTTGACGTTGATCTCATTCCCATATGACCTTTTAGAATAAATCTTTAACCGTAAAAAAATATTGATAAGGAGTCACTGCGATAACTGAACAACTTAAGTAGTGCATGTACATGTGATACAAACATAAAACCGATCATCTGTGCAGTTTCAGCTCTTATGCAATGCGTTATATTTGATTTGAAAATTTAAATCAATGTAAAAATCAAATAAAAATTAAAATTTTCAACTCATAAAATTCGAAACATATGACATTTTAAATCAAATTATTTGACTGTTTTTATTTGAACCTTTACAAATCAAATCATTGTTTTGTGATTTGATTTGTTGATTTTCAATATAATTGATTTCAAATCAGACTCACCCAAGTCAGAAACCCTGTTACGCATAAATAATGCTTATGCTACTCGCAGATATTCAGAGAATCCAAAATACCACTGTTGATAAGTTAATCAGTTATATTGGAAGATCATTCTTTTTCATGCTATTACATGTAAAGGAAAAAGAAATTTCATTCAGAAGAAAACTTATACTGATCAAATGTAGTCGAACTTTGTTCATGTAGCCAGATTATTATTTTCTAGATTATTTTTAAATGATAATTGTACAGTGTGCTGATATAAGGATTTGAAGTCAGAATTAAATTAAGAACAACAGTTATTATTTCATGCGTTAAAGTGGCATTGCATGAAAAATTATAAAGTTTGTAACATTTATTTAAATTGGATTCGTGTATGTTTTGTGATTATTTCATAAGCAGTAGTGAAATTAAATGAAGCCGCCATTCGTTTTATTATTTTTGTGTCTTATGATTTTAATTGAACAAGATGTAAATGCAAAGGAAGATGAAAAATGTACTGAGCACGGAGTTACCAAAATTGGTAATTATTTATTAGATGTTTTGCCATTAAAAAATTGGCATCCAAAAATAGTGAAATTCAAGAAATTTGTGAGAGTTACAATCAACCGTGGATGTGTACGTAGCGAATTTGAATTCTCTAGAATAAATACAGCGTATGATACGGTCACACACCAAAGTTTGTTTTTACATACATTTTTTGCTGTATTTTGTATGACGGTGTTTCGCTTTGAAATGCAACCTTTCCATACGCTGTTTTTATTCTATAGCAATCATTTATACTTTCAAATGAACGTCTTGTTTGATTTTGCCAAGGTTTTGACCGAGAGAAGATATGATAGTTATAAAAATATTATTATGATTTTTATTTCATTTGTTTCAAAACACTTTTGTTATCTAAAGTTTCACTTAATTCCTAAATTTACACATATCTCTTCCAACAGATATACTATTCATAGCCATTATAGTTGTACTCGGACTTTTTGTTATTGTAATTCTAATTTGTTTTCTTCGTGAACGAAGGAAACGGGTTCAGTTGGCAAAAATTCTTATGGGAGATCCCCAGAGAATCAACCAATATAAGCCACTGAATAACCAAGCCCACCTATTGCCGTATAAAAAAGAATTTGAATTTCCACTAAAAAAGCTTTATATCGGAAAGGTGATTGGTCAAGGTTCTTTTGGTGTAATCCACAGAGGAGTTGCACATGGAATATTATCTAATGAGGAGACAACCAAGGTTGCCGTCAAGGTATCCAATGGTATATGCGATGACGAAGTAAGTTTGAGTTGGAAATTCAACTCTTCATGAAATTTCTCACACATCGAACAAAATATGGAAACATATCAATTTGTTCAAAAATTCTTTACTAAACTGTATAGTTTTTGCTCATAAAGTGTTATATGATTATTATATTTGGCCATCCTTATGTTCAGGAATTGAGGTTATTAGTGAATGAACTGAAGATATTGATGCACATGGGTCTAAATTTGAATGTGGTGAATTTACTTGGAGCTGTTACCAAGAATATTGTACAAAGTAAATAAATCCTTTTCAATATATGAATCATTTTCAAAAATCAACATTTATTCAACTCTCTATATACTTATTTATAGATGAATTAATGATTATTACCGAATACTGTGATTACGGCAATATTGGAGATTTATTGAGAATTAATCGGGAACGTTTCATCGATCAAATTAATCACTCGAATGATACAATTAATTTATTTGAACAAGTACAAAATGAAGATGCCTCAATTGACTGTGAAAGTGATGATCAACAAGATTACGAAGTAAGTTCATTGATTCTTAGATAGAAAATTTCTTTTGAAAACGATTTCATTGATAATTTTTTTAGTTTGAAATTGACGAAAAATCTTCCATTCATTCTTCGAATTTTGAAATAACTCAGGAATATCATTTAAACGACTATTCAAAGGACCATCCGATGCGAGGAAAGTATTAAGAAAATGATATATTTTCATAACATAAATCATACTATTGTGTTCAAAATAAATTCAAATAAAAAACCTCTGTCGAGGTGAAGAATGAGTGACGAAACCGAAATGTAAAATACAACATTAAATGTTGAATTTTTTGAACGGATTGATCGATTTCGATGTTTAAGGTATCTTTGAAAAGGGATAAAACTAAAACCGGACCAAAAACTAAAGAAAATTGTACGAAAGAAATTACAAAAACGGCACCACACTAAGGTGGTTTCGTCACTCATGCGAACTGCCGTCTGCTGTGATAAGTTACATGATGAACAATCTCTCTCATCAAATCGAAAGGCTAGTTAACAGACCTTTTCTTGTTCTACATCTAGATGAAAACGAATATACAAGGCTCGATTCAATTACAACGTGTGATTTACTTTACTGGTCATTTCAAGTGGCGCAAGGGATGCATTATTTAATATCTCGCAATATTCTACACCGGGATTTGGCCGCGAGAAATATATTGCTGTGCAAAAACAACATAGTTAAAATTTGTGATTTCGGTTTGGCGCGAGATTTGCCTAGGAAAGGATATTACCGATCACGAGGACATGTAATATAATTTTAATATTCAGTACAGATATATACTACTTATATTCGAATATTTGCAGGAAGCAGTTCCAATTAAATGGTTGGCGCTCGAATGTCTTAGCGAACCGAAGTACAATGTACATTCTGATGTCTGGTCATTTGGCATCGTTTTATGGGAGCTATTTTCACTCGGAGAAGAACCATATTCTGAAAGAAAATTGGATTCTTTTGACAAGCTAGAAAAGCATTTAAAAAACGGACACCGATTGAGTAAACCACAATATGCCACTAAATCTATGTAAGTTACGAATGGTTTTTATCGTTTAAGCAATACACCAATGACTAAGAAATTCATATTTCAGATACGATATTATGATGTCATGTTGGAACACCGATCCCAAGTCACGTCCATTATTCAATAGTCTTGCAGAGACCATTTCCAAACTTATGAAACCTGATGATCTAGAGATATTTATCAATTTAAATAAACCGTTTCAATCAATGGCTGGAAAATTTAAATCTGGAAAAACGGATTATATAGCATTGCAAGAAGTTTTCTCTTGTGAAAAACTAAAAGAAAACGATGAATGTGTTGTAGAAATACCATTGCAATCTTTTGATTCATGCAGTGGAAGCAACTTGAATTTATGTAACACACTCGATGGGCACATCAATGCAATTTAACAATTCAAATTGAAACTAAAGAGCGCGTACCACTGCATGTTTTGATTGTTCAAATTGAAAGTCTTTCTAGGTGTCAACGAACCACCAAATTGCCGATCCAATTTTACGTCCATTATTCGAAAGTCTTATTTCCGATCTTATGAAACCTGGTGATCTAGAGAAATTTATCAAAATAAATCGTTTATGGGATCAAATCATGAATCAAATGCTGCAAAATGTAAAGAAGCGATAAGATTACTGCCTAAAATGATGAAAAAATAAAATTCACGTATAGTTGGCGCTACATTCTATGTAATAAGCGTATACTTTCCACTTAGTCCGTTGCAACGGAAAACAAGTTTGCATAGAATGCAGCGCCAACTATATGTGAATTTTATTTTTTATCGTTTTAGGCAATGAATCTATGGTGTTCTTATGGCTTCTTTCGAGAAACAGATTATTTAGAATTACATCGAATGCATAAAACGACGAAAATCCAAAGTCATAATATAACGTTAACTTGATTGTTCAAATTAAAGAAATACGAAGAAAATAAAGATCAAATACTACATGCTATTAGTGATACCGTTTCTTGTTGCTGCTAAAATGTTCTTGCAACCATAACTATATTAAAAACAATGATTTTTTTATGATGAAAATGCACAAAACATATACACAAAACCAATATATCCCCCCAAAAATTCAAGCGCCTCAAAACTTCGTGAATTCAAAGAATAAAATTGTTTAATACACCACAAATCGAGAAAGTAGTGCAAGTCATCGACCAAAAGTCTTGCGGTTTATGTTATATACCACGTCTGGTGAAATGTATACACTATTCTAATTTAATCTAGAAATACGGATTTAATGCCATCATGAAAAGAATTTTTTTTTCAAATATGAAATCTAGGTATTCTCGACACTCTATTGTCAAGATATATTGACCACAGTTAAAACTGCGATACTATTACAAATTCAATTAATTAAATTTTTCGTAAATATTTTTTACATAATAACGTTTAATTTTTGAAAATATCGAAAAAGTTGTGCGAAACATACAGTACACATGAATTTTACACCATTTACAAGCAAACAATCAATGTGGAATGTGACAGACAAAAAAGTTAAGGTGTTTTTCACTATAGCCACATTATGTCGATGGTCCACTCCTATTCCATATTCTATTGAGCACAAAAATTGTTTTCAATTGATTTGCCGCACCAATCGATTTCTATAAGGTATAAAAACTTTATGCCATAAATTTTCAAACAAATCGAACAAATATCGAATAAAATGCAGAAAGTTTGTTGAATCAGTTTTGTATCGATGCGATGAGAAACGTTTAAAGATATGCTTATAATTTAAACGTCTGCTTCTTCACAATGCACATTGTACATATCCGAGTTTTATGTATTCTGTATTCTTGGATGAAGAAACTAATACGGTTTGTTGAATTTCCCATCGATATGATTATTAACGTGTACGTCTATAAATAAAAGGAAATTGAGGCAGCCCCCACCGACTTTTATATCTTCATTTTGCATTCCGCTAACATAACAATTGAATCATCAAGAAAGAAGAATTTGTAATTTTTCAGGCGCTCAGAAGAAAAATGAAATAAAAAACAAATTTCTTTAAACTGATTTCGACTTGAACTAATTTTTTGTTCTATCATACGGCTATTTTCAAAATTCTCTTTTAGCGACTCGCATTAACATTTAGAAAGGTATTCCTCATATAATATGAATGGGCTTTGATTTACGTTTTGCATTAAAATTAAAACTCATTCTTCGTGAGTCAAAAGAGAAACCGCATTGTAATTGAACGCTAATGGTAATCATTTCTATGCTAATGGTAGTAACTGGTAAAAGCGAGCATTTGGTATTGAATGAAGACATTGTATCGATCAAAACAAATATGTTGAATAACGTTTTTGGTCTATTTAATGACAGGACTTGCTTTTAAAACTATCAAGGTTTGAGCTAATGCTCGCTAAAACTTGTGCATAAGGGGTAATGCACAGCGAAAAATTGTACCAATTTATTAAACAGAACAGTTATAATAAGCGAAATAATGTTGTTGTGGCATTGTTCTCGAAATAATTACAATATTGTTGTTAAATAAATATCAATGCATTTATAGACTGACACTCAAATGCCAAAACCATATGCAATAGACTAATAGAAGAAGAAAAAAAAAATCAATTTTAAACCACAACATATTTTTGCTCCCGAAACAATTTCTCACGCTAAAATATGAAATATGCATTACTCTATCAGCGACATATTCAAAATGTTCACATTGTATGCGATTTTTTCCGGTGGTTTTGTTCAAGTGACAGCCAAAAAAATATGCTCTCGAGGGAAAAATACATGAATTTATGCACGTATTGTCTGGTGTATAACTATTTCTTCCATAGCCAGAGTTTTGATGGTTGATATCGATCCTTTTTTTCTCGTTATTATTTATTATTCAAACTTGAAAAGCTAAATTGAAAGAGCACAAAAAAACTCCATCCACGTAGATATAAACTACATTTTACATATATTATATGATGATGCACAAAAAAATGTTAAAAAAAATTTGTTTGCCAAAAACTTTTCTAAATTGAAACAATTTTAGTGCACTTTAACTTAAAATTTGTTTCTGTTCATGGCTTTCGTTTTACACTCTTCCTTTGCCGGTGCCGAGTTTTTCTCTTTCTCTTTTCTTTGCATTCAATTTCTTTCCTCAGATAACTTTACAGCATACATATAGACCGCAAAACTCTACATCGATGTAACTCCCAGAATGAATGCAAACGCTCCCTCATATAACTTTTTCATTTCCATAAAGTAAGGAGAGAGGTAGAGAGAGAAATTATTCGTTTAAGTTTTATTATGATTTTTGTATTTCTTTTATTTGATATACGCGTTAGCTATAACTATTGGTTAACCAAGTCGTTGCATTCGCTTCTGTGCTTGAAGGTTGATGCTTTTAAACCTATGACTACGTTTTGTGTGTATGCGGAACATTGCGTACCATGTCTATGAAGTATTTTTCATGAGAATAAGTTTGAGAGCCACATTTCGTCCAATTGAAAACTTGGAATTCATATGGCGAAAGAGTTTTTCCATATTTGATTTTCAGTTTGAATCCTCAAATATTTTCATCAATCATTTATTGACTGTGTTGCAACTAAAAGAAGCCAAGTTTGAATTCTATCACTTTAACTATTCGAAATAGTTAAAAATGAGATGGAACAATCAATTTCACTGTCACAAAAGAAATGTTGTTGAGACATTCAATTACCTATGCCAATGTCGTTCTCCACCTCAAACTTATTTGCTCTCTCTCTCTCTTCCTCTCTTTATCTGTGAGTCTTTTTTATGGCGAATGAAAATGTGCTTGATCAAAAAGTAGCTTAATTGCTTCTGGCGATTGTACCAAGTTAAACCTAACGATTTTAATTTGTAAGTATGTGTGCTTTTGTAATTTCAAACAAGAAAAAATGAAGAACCATGTTCACAAAAATGTCGAAATAAACGGATTTTTTCTTTCAAATAAAATGAAGTTTTACGTTGGTGGTGCGCTTAAAAGCGCCTCCATCGTCCATATAACATAAATATATTTGTTGGATGAAAATAGGAGCGACCAAACATCTGGCTTTAATTAAACGCATTTCTGAAACGTTGAAATCTCGTTTTCGATGTTAAGCCAGTGATTGAATTCGTTTCCATGTGCTTTTTTGTTTTTTTTTTCTCTCTCTATGAAGTAGAGTTGTATATGTGCGGATTTCACTAGTAACTGTTTCGAAATTTAATATAGGATTAAAAAGCCACTTATTACATTCTCTTTGCGTTATCCGGGATTTTTATGTTTTCTCGCTTACTGCTTAATGCATCAAAGGACCGGGCACGAACGTTCAATTGCATCGTATTTTGGCTTGTTTCGATCTTCTTCTTTTTTCTTTAACTTTTTCCACTTCATCTTCTTCTTCTTCATTTTTTGCTACTTCGAAAAACTTAAACCGTCTGTTTATAGTCATATTAGTGCTTATTAAAATATTTTATTATTTATAAACAACAGTTTTTGGATGAAAGCGAATGGATCCATTTGTCAGTGAGATGGAGTACGGGACATAGAGAAACAGAGACAGTGAGAATAGAGTAAGAGACAGCTATACCAAATACTTTGTATGTGTTTGAAAAAATTGAAAACGTTTGAGTTGAAAGCGGCAACTAAAGCAAAACTGAACGGTATAAATTGCAACATTGTTGCATTTTCTGGATATTCGAACGATCAACATGCGAATGTTGGCAAATAGCCAAAAACATTGTATAGCAAACCAAACGTGAATAAAAGCGAGAGAAGGAAAAAGAGCGCCATCGTTATGTGCTAACAATGGTTTGATTTTAAAATCAAACTTAAGCAACAATATCTCAATAACAATAACATGGCAACAACTTTCAAGGCAAGAACACGAAAAGCTAAGCCATTGCCATTGCTGTTCACCATTAGTGCGACAAGAGTGAATGCCATTCTTTTGGGCTCTGTGCATGTGTGTGTGTATTTTTTCCCTGTGTAAATAAATACTCTGTGTGCTCTTCGCTTTATGTGTGTGCACGATAGAAAATTTATTATGTGATGTTTTGAACGCAAAATTTAACAAGACTAATAATGATAATAGCATTTTTCCACCAGGATGCTGTGCATGATGATGACGCGATACAAACCCACATGAACGAAAAAAAAATGCACACTTACAACAACGCATACAAATACAAACGTGATTTAATGTGATATATAAATTGCACAAATAAAAACCAATTGCCTGCATCGTAAGATACCATCCAATAAATAATTGCATACAAGAATTCATTTTATTCGCCTGGAAAAACGTCCGGCACAACAACAACCACCACTACCACCACCACCATCATCATCAACAACAACAACAAATTTACCGAAACGACATGTCTCGACATTTATAATATTCACGCCGGAAAAATGTGGATGGTTGCTTTAATTTTTGGCCAATAAAACTCACAAGCAGATCCTCTCGATTTTTTCTCCTACTTTGTCCGTAATTTTGCGGTCCGAACAAACAATATTGAATGTGTCCTTATCAATTTAAAAATATGATTTATGCATTGTTCGTTTTTTTTTTCTCTGCTCAATTGAAGGGCAATGGACAATGCGGCTAGCCCATTTTAATTGAAAGCCAATAATTTTCATAGCTTCGCCATTAATACTAGTGATTTGTTGAATTATAATGGCAATGTCAACTTGCTTGTATGATTTAAAGACTTTTTATTACATACGTATAATCATTTGATGATTTGTTGTTGAATTCGAAGATTTGGATATGGCTACCAAATCAAATTTGTGATAATCTAGGGGGTAGACACGTGGAATAAGATTAGACTTTTAGTGTAAAAATTCGAGAAATTAAAGTGGAATAGACAATTCAGTAGCTAGATTCACTAATGCCATGTATGAAATAGCGAAAATGAGTTAGATTCAATGTTTTCGTAATCGATAGTACAGAATTTGATCAAAGCATTGAACTTTTTATCATTTAACTTAAATCATTTGAATTATCAATAACAAAATGTTATACTCCAGTGTCGATAAATAAGTTTTCAACAAAGTGAATAGCGGCGAAATGTGACATCATATTTGACAATGAAATGACGGATTGGTGGAATAGTAGGATTAGTGTTTATATATTGGAATCATGGTTTAATCGTTTGTGTCTCCCTCCTAGGTGATAATCAAACAGAAGTAAGTTTAATAGGCATATTCAATAAAAAAAATACGCAAAAAATAAGTATGAATCATAACAAAATAATAATAATATGCAAATGGAGAAGAAATAATATTGGCACCAGATCAACATTTTCTTATGATATGTACAGAGATGTGTACATAGTGTGGTCTTTTTTACGATCATGTAATC